TCTCTCTCTCTCTCTCTCTCTCTCTCTCTCTCTCTCTCTCTCTCTCTCTCTCTCTCTCTCAAGCTCCTGCGAGGATGACAGATCTGAACCATTATACATCCTGGTGTACTCTCTCTCTCTCTCTCTCTCTCTCTCTCTCTCTCTCTCTCTCTCTCTCTCTCTCTCTCTCTCTCTCTCTCTCTCTCTCTCTCTTGCATTTTAGTTTTTGTAGGTTATTTCATGTTTAGTTAATCGTTTTTTAGTGTATTTTATCGTTAATTCCTGTTGGCAGCAATTTATTACATAATTTTAGGTTTTGTTAAAATTGGAAGTTATTTATGTTTTAGTTGTGATTAAAATATGTCGACTAGTGGTGTTAAAATCATGTAGCAATTGTTAGCTTGTAAAGAACACATCTCATGTAAGTTATGAATTGTCAATTCATTGTACTTTGTAACTCTATGGATATAATCTCTAATCAATCTAAGATATTTGTGAATAGTATATTTGTATTCGTGGTGGATTTCAAATTGAAGCATAAAGTCTCTATTTTTCACTTTAAGACTTCCTCATTAAAAAACTCTGATATTTCATTTTGAAAATCAGTCAATTTTTAAAAAGGGTCTATTCACCACCTCTAGGCTGCTCCTTTACTCCATATTACTACCCAACAATTGGCCTTAGAATTGGTCTTTTGATTAGGTCTAAGCGACTCAAAAGCTAATATGGTTGACAATAACGATCCAAAGGGAGAGTATAATAGAGCATTAATTTTCAAAGGCGAGAATTACACTTATTGGAAAGAAAACATGTATGTACACTATCAGTTAACAAAAATCTACAGGTAAATGTCAACGAATGAGCCTATTATCCCTAAAGGTGACAACGACATTGTTAAACACCTAAAGGATTGGACATATGATGAAACCAAAAAGGCTTCATATGATTTGAAGGTGAGGAACATACTTATCTCAGCTTTAAGCGTGAAAGTATTCTACTCAATTTCACATCATAAGAGTGTACAAGCTATGTGGAATGCTTTTTAAAACCTTTATGAGGGAAATATTAAAGCATAAATCTATTAGAATGTTGTTAGCCATTATGGCGAAGTTCGTCCTAAAACTTAAACAGATGGATGTGAAGACAACATTCCTATATGGTATTATAAATGAAACAATCCTAATGAGGCAACATGATGGGTATGTAGAAAAGGGAAAGGAAGATTATGTATGCAAGCTGAATAGGTCTTTGTATGGCCTGAAACAATCTCCTCGACAATGGAATAGGAGATTCGACAAGTTCATGACACACATTGGTTTCACTAAAAGCCAGTTCGACCACTTTGTTTACTTCAGATTTCAACCTGAAAATTCACTTGTTATTTTGTTGCTTTATGTGGATGACATCCTCATAGCATGCAACAATGTCGAAGATATTATGAAGGTAAAGGCTGAAATTGATAAGGAGTTCGACATGAAGGATTTAGGAGCTGCCTCCAGAATTCTTGGGATTGACATTCGGAGAGATAGAAAGCATTCGAGATTATGCTTATCTCAAGAGGCTTAATAGAAAAAGATTCTCGACAAGTTTGATATATTGAATTCAATGCCTAATCTAACACCGACTAATCCTCAATACAATTTGAGTTCAGCTCAAAGTCCTAGTACTGAATTTGAGCCTATATGAATATCATTCCATATATTAGTATAGTAGGTTCTTTGATGTATGTTATGGTATTTACGAGGCCATACTTAGCATACAGAGTGAGCCTTGTAAGCAGGTATATGAAAAATCTTGGAAAGGCGCACTAGAAAACATTAAAGTGATTTTTTAGGTACACAAATGGATCACTGAGCAGAGTCCTGATTTATGGTGGAGTCTCTGGTGATGATAGCAAAGTCAAAATCGAAGAATTTGTCGACTCTGATTTTACAGGTTGTATAGATTCCAGAAAATCTATTTTTGGATATGTGTTCACTATGTACGACACAATAATCGGTTGGAAAGCGACACTTCAGAAGGTTGTTGCGTTATTAACCATTGAAGTAGAATATATTGCTCTCACTGAAGCTATGAAAGAAGCATTGTAGCTTGAAGGTTTTGCTAAGAAAATGAAACTTCAAAGTCGAGTTATCACTGTTAAATGTAATAGTCAAAGTACAATGCACACCCGTCGAAGAATTCAACCTATCATAAGCGAACCAAGCACATCGATGTGAGGTTTCACTTCTTTAGAGAGATAATCGAACATGGAGAAGTCCAAGTGCTGAAGGTTTCAATTGATGGCAATGATGCTGATATGATCACCAAGATATTGCCGAGTAGCAAGTTTTTCCACTGTATGCAGTTGATAAAGCTGCATGATGAAAACTAGCTTGTTCCCTTGTTAGTGTAGAGTTTGTTCCAAGGTGGAGATTTGTGGTATTTTGATCAAGCTCTAGTGTCGACAAGGGTAGTTTCATGGTTTGACAGGAGTTGTGCATGATGGAGTCGAAGCCCGTTCAAACATGCTGTCGAAATATGTTAGATTTGTGTTTAAGTTAACTGGTAACTTAAGTTAGCTTAGTAGTCTATAAATAGACTAGTTCTCTCAGATTGTTGAGAGAGATTAATTGTTGGTATTCACTTGTAATTTTGGACCCTTATTAACTAAGTGAATAGAAAAATAAGTTTAACCAATTCTTATTCTTCTTCTTCTTCCTTCTCTATCTTTTGTAAAACTTAATAGAGTTTCTTGTGCTTGTTTAAGAAACTCAATCTTTTTCTTATATTTTAATTTGTTTTGATGATATCAATTCACAAAAAAAAATTTAATATATTTTCAATTTTAATTAAAAAATTCAATCCATTTTTTTAGCTCTCGAGCCAGATTGAGTTCGAGTTATCGATATGAATTGTTCTCAAACTTAAGATACTAATTCTTATTCTTTAATATGTGACATCAATTAATCTCTCTGTTTTAAAATTATTGTCTATTTAATAAATAAAATTTGTTTTAAAATGATTCTCATTTTCACTTTTAATATAAAAATGATTGTTAATTTTTCAATTATAGCTTTTAATTATTATTCTTTATGCTACTTCTAATGTTTTAATAGGACTAATTTACTAAAAGTATCATAATATTTCTTATTTTATGTACAAAAACCTTAAACGACATTCATTAACCGAAACTTCTAATTCCCATTACTCTATCCACCAATGAATTGTGCAAACGTATTTAGAAAGCTTAGAGCATGTAGAGGGTTACCTGTTGATGTCATCTTGTGGCTATTTCTAAGAAGCAAAAGCCATTGATCACAATCACAGATATTCCAGCATACATGGGGTCACCAATACTTGATTGTTACTTGTGGCCAGTTCTAAATATCAAGAGCCAATTTTAGTCAACTTATCACATTTTTATTTCTACAAATTACTACTAGTGATTTTAAGCTAATTATTAGTTAATAAAAACTTGGAACCAATTATTAAAAAAGCTTGATTAATAAACATGTAACATTTGTTGATAATGCCATTTGCCAAACACAAACTCTAAAGTATTATAAATATATTCTACATGGGAAGTGATTCGGTACAGACTGCTTCATTTTGTGACATTTGTTTATTTTATAGAACCAGTTACCAGTGTCCTTTGCTGTCATACCATAGTAGTACTATTAAATTTGTGTAGTTTTCCTAAAAGTTGGAAAAAATGAAGAGAAGAAAACAACAATCATCATTCTAATAAGCAATTGGATGAAGAAGTTTTGATGTTTATTAGTATCATGAAGCTAGATTCCTTGTTTGGATAAATTGCCTCAATATTCTTTTCTTTCACACATTCATACATTATCAAGCTTGAGGGGTATAAAGGTAATTTCAATGACCCATATATTTTTTAAGATTACTTATTCTAAATTATAATCAAATATATTTAAATCATTCTTGCATTTGAGGTATTTTAAACATACATTTTCAACGAAAATTTACCCTTTCTAAAAAAATAATCAACTCTATAGATTGTATTTTTTATGAGTCTCATATTAATTTGATTTTGGTGTGTCTTTGAGATTTATTTTCTTGAGGAAAATGAAACAGAGAATAATAAGTGTGTCGGAAAGATAAATTTCAATTCTGATGCGTTTTTGAGATTCATTTTCTTGAGAGAGGTCAAATGAACAACAGAGATAATGAGTGTGTTTGAAAGATAATTTCTGACTATAATGTAACTTTAAAATTTATTTTTCTAAGAAAAGTCAAATGAATAACATAAGATAATAAGTGCGTCTGAAAGATAATTTTTTTAACACACTCCCTTAACTTTTATTGATGCGCAAGAAAAATAACTTACAGGGTATTTTTGGAATTTCATCCGATTTCGAAAAATACAAAGGGTGTAGTGAGAATCCTCTATAAAAATAAAAGCACTCATATTTTGATCTTGAAGCTAGAATGATTTATATTGGGCCTATTCTAAAAAACTTCTTTTTACACCCCATATTTTTATAAAATCACACATGTTCAGAATTGAAGTGACTCTAAGGTGTGAAAATAAACTCATATTTGATGCTTTCACAAAAAAAATATGGTGGTACTTGAATTTGACTGGTAGTTATTTTAATGTTCATGTCAAGAAAGATTCTATGTAACTTTTCTAGCAAGACTTTGGCTGTTGAATGAATATAATAATCAATACATAGTTTTCTATTCTAAATAACCCAATTTTATAGGACTTGCTTTGCAAGTCACATAGTTTTATATTCAAATGAAACCATTCCTTGGTAGCCAATCCCAAAATGTCTCAATTTTCTACAATCTACATGTCTCTCTTGCTTATAATTTGAAGCTAATGAGTACATCTTCCAACTTTTTGCAGTATATATTCAAGAGAATAAACTTATGTGTATAGATGAAAATTATAAAGAAGCTCACTTTTTACTTCCATGTAAGCATGTTCTATATACTTTACAAGTTTCTAATTTCTAGTACTAGTTAGTAAACTTTGGATGTGTTTTTTGTATATTCATGTGTAGAAATTAATGGAAATGTTAGCATTAAGAAACGAAGAAGCTATCAAAGTGAAGTTCGAGAAAGATATCAATTTCAATACATTCTATAAGCCTTATCATGTTAGTACTAATTCGGGTGCTACCGAAGATGACGAAGAGTGTATAGGCTTGAAGGTGGCATTGTCATGCAAATATCTAATTTCGCAGAATAATTCTGATACAGAAGATGAAGTTGAGGACTTGGTGTTGTTAGATAAACAAAGTCACGCAGTTTTGTTACCGAGAAAACCAGAAGTTGTAATGTTGTTTTCTTCTTCTCCGCTTGTTGATTCTAACCGCGATTTAGCTGCAACGAAGCTGCAGAAAGTTTATAAGAGTTACAGGATTAGAAGATATCTAGCCGATTTGGCTGTTGTTTGCGAGGAGCTCTGGTGGAAGGATTCAGACTCTTCGGCTTTTCAAAGGTGTTTGATTTCACATTTCGATTCTGATAAATCTGAAACCGCTATTTCAAAATGGGCAACAGCAAGAACAATAGCTGCTAAGGTATATATATACCTTTTAATTATTATCACGTCACCGTCCAAGATGATTAGTCCTAGACACGTTGGGGTGTGTTAGTAGTATATATTAGATGATATAAGATCTGACAACGAGTTTATAATCGAGATACATACCTTACTCTACACGTCTATTTTGTAGGGTTGAGCCAGACACAACTTGGCCTGTATTAGTCTTTTTTCCTCAAAATTTTATTGAATATCAATCATACGCAATTTATTCTTTGGCTTGTAGATGGGAAGAGGATTGTCCAAAGACGATAAGGGGCAAAGATTAGCTCGAAAACACTGGCTTGAAGCTGTAAGCTCATACTTCTGCACTTGGTTCAATGGTTTCTTGGACTCCAAGAAAACAAACTATCTAAGGCTAAGGTTTTTTTAACATTTTGCAGATTGATCCTCGTCATCGATATGGACACAACCTGCATTTCTATTATGATGTTTGGTTTCAATGCCAAAGTTCTGAACCCTTTTTCTATTGGTAACTATTAAGTTCAAATAGAATTTTTCATCCCAACTTTGAATTTCTTAATGTATTTTTCTGACATGAAGGTTGGATATCGGAGATGGCAAAAAAGTAGATATCAACAAATGTTCAAGGAAGAAATTGCAGAGGCAATGCATAAAGTACCTTGGTCCTGTAAGTTGTTTCATTCACTACAATGCATAGAGAAAATTGCACTCAGTTTTATGAGTTGTTCAACTTTGATGGTTTGAATTCGCAGATAGAAAGGGAAGCATATGAAGTAACTGTGGAAGGAGGGAAGCTTGTTTATAAACAAAGCAAGAATTTTGTACACACAACTGAGGGATCTAAGTGGATTTTTGTTCTTAGTTCATCTCGAGTTTTGTATGTTGGACAGAAGGAGAAAGGAAAATTTCAACACTCAAGTTTTGTAGCTGGTGCCGCTACCATTGCATCTGGAAGAATTGTTGCTCACAATGGAGTACTTCATGTATGTATGCTACATTTTTCATACACATACTCCCTTTTTAGTATGATTTTGAATCCCGGTTTGATCGGTGTGGCCACAATTACGATTGTAACAGATTTTATTTCAGGTTATATGGCCTTATAGTGGTCATTATCGTCCAACCGAGAAGAATTATATGGAGTTCATTCACTTTTTGGAGGAACATCATGTGGATATGACAAATGTAAAGGTGAATAAATCATGTTGTAACATCTTTCCGTTCTAGATTTGCCATAAAAAAATATATGTATCAGACAAAGCGGTAATAACTACTAAACTGGCATATACAACCGTGAATACCAGAGTTCGAACACTGGTGATGATGTCTGACATACAATATCGGCTTTCGTTAGTTGAGCTAGAATTTGCAGATGATTTTCCATCAAAATTTAAAATGTTAACAAACATGATCAACTAGTTGAATATTGAACTTTTTTTTATGTTTTTGTTTCACGCAGAAACATCCGGTTGATGATGATATTCCACCTCCTGTAAAACCTGTGGATGAGGAGCTTCACTTTGAGCACATAGAAAATGTTGAAAATAACAAGTCAAGCAAATGGACAACTGGAGTTGCTCCTAAGATTGGTTACGTGAGAGAGTTTCCATCAAAACATCAACTTCAAGCACTTGAAGAGCTCACTCCAACACCAAAAGCCAATAGTGGAGCATTTGAAGACAAAACTATGATTCCCTCTTTAAGGGCTAGTTCAGAAATTCTTCTGTCACATAGGCTTGAAAACATGGAACTTATCTAGCTCAATAATATATACAAATGAGGCATTCATGTGCATAAAAATTTGGACTATGTTATATTAGTACATAATATATGTTGTTAATAGTTAGCTTCTGCTGAGGGATTCTTTTTCATTCCCCTCAACTGCATAGTTTTTAAGGGAGATGGTCAATAATACATTCTTATATGGTTAATCATAATCACATGAGAATTATATAAAAATATCTTTTATATTTAATTACGTAGGTATTTATATATCCTTTTAACATTCTCTTCGACAAAAAAACATGTCCTACAAACTTCCACTAAAGTTATTTAATGAAATATCTGTCATATACTTTCACTTTAAAGTCTTTGATTGTCTTTGTTATCCTCTTATTTCATTTATCTCTAAAAATAAATTAGAGTCTCGTTCAACAAAATGTGTATTTTTAAATTATTCTTCAAATCATAGAGATTATAAATGTAATGAGTGTGAGTTGTAAAATAACTATTTCTACGCATGTCACTTTTGATGAAAATATGTTTTCATTTTCTATCTTAAATGCTCCTCTAACCTCTAATTATGAATTTTTGAATACAAGAGACATACCCTTTCTTAACTCCAATCCAACATATTCTCATCAAAACACTACAACAACAAACTAACTCTCCCTACTCAAAATGCTACCCTATCGACCACAACTACATCATCCCCGCATCTCACTACTACGACCCCTACCTCCCAACAAATGTCAACGCATACACAAAATCTTATCACGTCCTCATATTTGGGCTCATCAAAAACTGCTGACCCAATCATTTCACCGCATCACCCACCTCTCTCACCTCAAATGACCACTTTAACACAACATAAAACTTTTATGCCTCACAAATTTTTTAATCTCCGCACCTCATCTCAAAACTATATTTATTCATTTCCTATCAACCTCATTCATGCATTACATTATCATAATTAAAAATTGACTATAAAATATAAATCTGTTGCTCTTATTATAAATAAGACATGAGAGGTACAAAACTAATATTATTTGAAGTTTGTGGATTTTTCAGTCATAAAAGAAACATTAAGGATTCTTTGAGGTGTATAACGCTAGTCTCGTAGGAGGTGGTGTCTGTCAAGAAAATGGTATCGATTATGGTGAAACTTTCAGTCCTAGAGTCAAACCAGCCACTATTCAGATGGTACATATTGTTGCTTTGTTAGAATCATGATGTCTTTATCAATTAGAAGTCAAGAATGCATTTTTGCATGCTAATCTTGATAAAAACTGTCTACATGCATCATTAACAGATTTCATCAATGCTTAACATATTGATTATGTATTGCTCATAAAGTCACTATATGGACTTAAATAAGCACCTCGTTTGGTATTAGGAGTTTACTAACTATGTTGCTACCTTGGGTTTCTCTCACAACATCTTCGATCATTCCTTATTCATATATTGTCGAGGTAATGATATACCTTATATCCTTCTCTATGTGGATGACATCATTCTGGTTATCTCCTTAGATTTCCTTCGTCAATTCATCATGACTAAACTCGGCCCCGAATTTACTAAGAAGGATTTAGATCATTTTAGTTACTTTGTCTGTATTTTTATTACTAGACACACAAGAGATATTTTTCAATCATAAAATAAATATATTGAGGAAATTATTGTGCGCAAGTATGTCTTCTTACATGTCATATGCTACAATACTTGAATTTTGGAAATCAATATCATGATCCCATTGAGTATTCTTGTTTTGTTGGAGCATTTGAATTTTTGACTTTTAGTAAATATGTTTGTTTATGCATGATTCAAAAACACAACATATGTTTGCCATGAAACACATTCGATATATTTATAGCACTCTGGATTTTGATATACATCTATATCATTCCTTCATTGATAAGCTCATCATATATATTAATGCAGACTAAGGTGGATGTCTAGAAACTAAAAGGTCCGCATCAGGGTATTGTGTATATTATGGAGACAACCTCATTGTTTGGTCTGCCAAACGACAAAAGTAATGTGGTGTACGAGTGTGTTGGTTTAGAAATCTTATATTGGAACTACATTGTCATGTCTTAAAGGCAACACTAGTCTATTATGATAATGTAAGCACCGTATATCACTTCAACAATCTTGTTCAAGTTCACATGTTAAATGTCCCCTCACGATACCAAATAGTTGACATCTTCGCTAATGGACTTCCATGACAACTCCTTGATAATTTTCGAGTTAGTTTCAACATCTGATAACCACTAGTTTCGACTACGGGGGTGTATATATATATATATATATATATATATATATATATATATATATATATATATATATATATATATATATATATATATATATATATATATATATATATATATATATATATATATATATATATATATATATATATATATATATATATATATATATATATATATATATATATATATATATATATATATATATATATATATATTGATATATTTGTAAAAGTCCTACAAAGGCGCGAGAGATGTAGTCCTTAGAAGAGGCGATGACCATATGTCGTCCTCCAATAGGAATAACTTCACCCTAAATGCCCCTCACTTGCCCAGTTATGGGAAACGTGAGAGAGAATATTTCTTAGTCAGAGAGAAGTCGTAGTCAATAGATGCTCATGTCCCCCTAGAAAATATGGATTTAAAGACTCATCATTGAAGGGTGGGCGATTATCATTTCCAAGGAAGCCTTATGTCGTATATCCTCGAAAAATACTTCAACCTTAGAGTTGAGGGGATAAATCACAATTTACCCATCATAACACTTATGCACAATGCCTCTTACCTCACGTGAACTAACCCTTTCATACCACCATAAACACCGTCAAATAGGGTTTCTCACCACGATAAGCAGACTCTAAACATCAACAACTATTAAGGCCTATGAGTATCTCCTACATACATAGGCATACCATGCACACATGTACTTTTTGATAAGTACAGTGGCGCCCACTGTGGGGCTTTGATAAAATTAATTAAATGTTACTCATTTGAACTATTTTTTTTGTTTGGATTTATTTTTATTATTTTATTTATTTTTTAAATATTTATTTCTTTTTGAAATCACTTGATATAATTTATTTTATTAATTATATATTATTTTTTATTGAAACAAATTTATATAATTTTATTTTAATAATTAAATTTTAAATAAAAAATGACATTTCTTCATCCTTAGAATTTTATTTCATTTATTAATTATAAATTTTAGATATTATTTATTGGTCATAATCAAATGTTCAAAAGTTTATCAAACGATCAACTAATTTATTATTAAGTTTCTATGATGAAATATAACACGTTATTATTTATGACTTAATCTATTTTTTTTTATTAAAGAAAGATATATTGTTAAAATTTATTTTGTAATAATATATTAAAATGTTAATAAAATTAATATCATTTTTTATTAAATCATCACGTTGTGAAGCACAGGTCTATTTGAATGTTGTTTGTCATGGTGACACAATTCGACCTGAAACTAGAACAAATGGATGTAAAGACTGCTTTCTTGTATGGAGATCTAGATGAAACAATCCTGATGAAACAAATTGGTGCGGTGTGCGTGGAGAAGATGTCGTCAACAAAGTATGAGATTGAAAAGTTCACCGGAGTGGAGTGAACACATCATTGAATTCGACACCTTCTTTCTGAGTGAAATCTCTTGTGACCAATCTTGCCTTGTATCTTTTCACCTCACTCCTTCTATTCCTTCCTTAGTTTTGAAAATGCACTTACAGCTGACTAACTTGACTCCAACAGGTTTCTTGATCAATTCCCAGGTGTAGTTATCATGAAGAAACTTAATCTTATCATCCATGGCCTTCATCCATTCAGTCTTTATTTGACTTCTCATTATTTCCTTATAGTCGTTAGGTTCTTCGTTCAGAACCTCACTTACATATATTAAGGCATAATCTATAAGATCTGCATAACCAAATCTTTGAGGTGGCTTGATAACTCTTCTTGACCTACCTTTTTCCAATAGGTAGTCATTGGTAGTTTCCTCAGTTTTAATAGCAGCTTCTGCTTCTTTTTCGACTTCATCTGGGTCATGCAATTCAGTATCACTATGTTCCACCTCAATAGAAATCTCTTTTTGTCCCATCTCTTCTTCAAATATCTTTAAACTTTAACCAATGTCATCAATTTTCTTGAAAGACATCTCAACCTCATTGAAAACTACATCTCGACTTATGATACACCTCTTATGACTTAGCTCTAGGCACCACGGCCTATAAGTTTTGACTACTTCAGGGTATCCAATGAACATACATTTCAGAGCTCTAGGTTTGACCTTGTCTTGCCTAATGTGAGCATAGGCTATGTAGTCAAATAGTCTAGGTTTGTCGAGATCTGGTGGATGTCCTGACCAAACTTCTTCAGGTGTCTTCATATCTAACGAAGTCGAATGACATCTAATTATCAAATATGTTGTTGTTAAAGCAGTCTCTGCCCAAAACACCTTCTTTAACCCAGCACTAGTCAACATGCATCTAACTCTTCCCGAAATGGTTCGATTAAACCTTTCGGTTATACCATTTTGTTGGGGAGTGCATGTAGTAGCTTTGTGCCTTGCAATACTAGAGGTTGCAAAAAAACTCTCGAACTCCTCATTGCAAAATTCAAAGAGATTTTCGATTCTAAATCTCTTGACCATTCTACCAGTCTGATTTTCGACCAGAGTCTTCCAACTTTTGAAATTCTCAAAAGTTTCATCATTAGTCTTTTGGATGAATACCCATAACTTTCTAGAATAATTATCAACTATGGATAGAAAATACCTTGCTCTTGAATGTGACGAACACCTTGCAGTCCTACAAAGATCAGCATAGATATAATCAATGGATCCATATGTTCTTTGTTTATCTTTGTTGAACTTCACTCTGCAAGATTTTCCAAGTACACAGGGTTCACAAAACTTCAGCTTTTCGACTTTGTCTCCACCAAGCAGATTTTGTTTCCCCAGTTCGACCAGATCTCTTTC